CACATTTAGTTTAAAATAAATGTTCGAAAGGTGAAATGGAATGAAAAGTGATGAAGAAAATTCCTTAAATATAAATGATTAGGAGTCTTAAAGGAGACGAACCTGTACTAGGTTTGATTACATATTTGTTGCTGGTATGTTAAACAAATATAAAAGTAATCTCTAAATGATTATTTAAATGCTACAATGAAATTTCTAAGATATTTACAAGGCATTAAAGAACACATGCTAACTTAAAGAAGATCCAAATTATTGGTTATAATTGGATACTCGGATTCAAACTTTTGCTCATAATGTCTAAAGGAGAAACATTATAGGAAAGTGGAACAAAGTCCATCATCGTGACTTCCACAATTAAGTTTGAGTTTGTGGTATGCTTTGAGGCCACAAGTCAAAATTTAAGGCCACGATGCTTTATCTTAGAACTTGAAAATGTCGACATCTTATTCAAGCCGCTGAGAATTATTGTAGTTTTGTAGCAATATTTTTTCAAGGAATGACAAGTATTCAAAGGGTGTGAATCACATAAAATTTAAATACTTGGTCGTAAAAGTACAAGTGAAGAAATAAAGTGTCATTTGAGGATTTTAGTACTAATTCCATGAAAGTGGATCCATTAAAGGGTTATTCACTATAGCCTTTGCAAGGCATATAAAGGAAATTGGGATTAACGAATGGAGCCTTGTTTGACTGATCGGTATTGAATGGAATTGCTCAATTAATGGTTTTGACACTTATTGAATTCGATTACAGATGTTTTATTCTTCACATATAATACCATCATTATGGATTTTTTGATCTTATAGTATGTACATAAAAGTTGGATGGCTTATGGTTATGGTACGAATAGTTTGTTCCATATTAAAATAAAGTTGAATTAGAAATGATTTGTGGTACATGGAAGGGATCATGTCGTTCAAAGACTTGTGACCGCCATGACTCGGTTAATTTCTATTTTAATTTTAAACTTATAGCTATATGTATTCCATCATAAGTTTGATGAAAGATGTGTGCTTAAAGTAGTTCTTTGGGTTTCAACACTTATATGGTCCAAGTGGGAGAATGTAATAATATTTTATATATTATTCAATTATTGTGGACCATATAATTAGTTAGACCTAATTGAATTCATAGTCAAACTTAATTAAGGTGAATATATATTTAATAGATTATTAATGTTCTAATATTAAGGAGTCCAATTTGTGATGTTTGACTTGGACATTAAGTTAGGTTAGAACATGGGGAATGTTAGTAGGAGTAGGATTGTAGGTCTCCTTCTATATATATTACTACATGCCCCTCTCTCCCATCTCATACGAAATAAAGTTCTCAACATCAAGGACTTTGTGAAAAGACGAGAGATGCGGGAGAGAGAAACAATTCATAGGCAAACAAGAATCCATTGTTGGAGATTACGAGACGAATCCATCATTGAAGCTTATGAGAAAGATGATCGTGGATTAACATCATAGATAAACAGGGAAGGACTATAAGTTGGATTCTTGTAAGTTCAATGTGCAATTTAATTTATGCAAAGATCCATGTTCTATGAATTAATAGATTTACAGGCTTAGAGGTTATTCAATTCTGCCTAATAGTTATGGATATACCCGTTAAATTTTCTTACACGGGACACACAAACCGAACCTAAAAAGACTCGACTAAAGCAAATAAAGCATAATAAAAACACATAAAACATAACAAACAACTTCAATAATTTTATTCACATCTGCAATAATTTTATTGATATGACAAGATTAACTCATTCATCTGAATTGTAATGACCACATAATTCTAATTCGCTAATATATATATATATATATATATATATATATATATATATAAATATATATATAATAAAAGTTACTAGCTAACTAAGAAAACTAAAACTAATTACACTATACTAAATATTCCTAATTGACTCAAAAAATAATGCACAATATAATTAAAAAATATATACACAATAACACGGTGCCTCAAGTTGGAGCATGCGAGTTTCGAATGCTCAAATTTTCAAGAAAGAAATCAAACTCGCGATTGCCCAAGGCTTTAGTGAAAATGTCTGCGAGCTAGGTATGAGTAGAAACATGACTAGCAGAAATGAGGTCCTGGACGAAAGCATCACAGAGAAACTGGCAGTCAACTTATCGTAGTGAATCCACATTGGATATGAATAAGCTACACTAAGGTTGCTCAACAAATCTCGTAGCCACTTCAATTCACAAGTAAGGGTTGCCATAGCACAATACTCAACTTCGGTTAAAGAATAAGCAATGATGAGTTGCTTCTTAGTTGAGTTCTATAAGGAACATCTTCCATGTGCATCTTCGAATATATTGAAAATAAATCAGAACGCAGCGGAATATATTGTTAGGATTAAGACTTACAATTTTAAAAAATTTTCAACTCTGGAACGTTTTTTCTTTTCGTTGTTGAAGATCGTCTGAATGCTCATCGTCATTTGACCACCACCGTGTCTCGTGTCTCATGCCTCCGATCGCTCGTCGCTCTCGTGAGACCGTCCCGAAGCTCCGGTGGCTAGGTCGAACCACCCGAGACTTGTCATGGGCTCGCCAAGATTCCTGGACCGCTGCTGAACCGGGATGCGCTTAAACCAGGTGTTGGGCGCACGGGTGAACCGGATTAGGCTGCTGTTGTCCGGGTAGACTCGGGTCTGGTGAGCACGACGCATTTCGCAGGTCGCGAAGGCAAACTCGCAGCGAGTGCCTTAATTCCAGCCTCAGGTGGCCTTTCGCAGGACGTGAGCTTTCGCTCGCTGCGAGTGTCGGCGTGCTGGTGGCTGTGGTGCGCGTTTGGTGCGGCGCAAAACCCTGTTCGCTGCGAGTGCTGCACTTGGGCTTGTCACGCTCACATCGTTCTCGCGGGGTGCCAAAATGATCTCGCGGCAAGTGCTGCCGCCTGGGCTGGGGCACGACACAGACGTTCTTGCAGCTCGTGAGAAGATACTCGTAGCGAGTGACCGAGCATGGCCTGGGCGCTTCGCGGGCCGTGCGCGCTACCGATCCGCTTTCGCAGCGAGTGTCGGGCAGGGCTGGGGCTTGTGTGCGCGAGTTCTTTCTCGCAGCGAGTGTGGACGCGACTAGGTTGACTTTGAGCTAGACTTACGGCTCGATCAAGTGGCTCGGGTGGTTCGGTCAATGGCTCGGGTTGTTCGAAAATGGCACGAACGACACGTCTTCAAGAAATTATAAATTGGACCTAAACAACACACCAAAAAAGACGCGAAAATACGACAAAATACAAGAACACAACACGAAAACGAAAACACGAAAAAATGGATCATTTGATACTAAAACGAACCTAAAAACGACTCGAGTAAAACACATAAAACACAAAAAATACCACAAAAACATAACAAACAGATAATCAGTGGAAAAGTTTACCTCGATTTGAAATGAGAAGATTGTTGGTGGATATCTTTTGAGTGGATATAATCGTGAATGGTCTCCTCAATAGCAGTCTTGGCATGAATAGAAGCAAAATTTAGAGACTACAAGGGAAACTTAGAAACAACTAGGGATAAAATTGAAAAGCCATCTCGAAAAAATGTCGGCCAATTTTTTTCAAAATGTGAAGTTAAACGAGACAACGTCGTTATATGATCTTGTGATGTGGAAATTTGAAACTTATTGTTATGATACGTAAAAGCTTTAGGTCGAACAAGTCAGTTCGAAGTTGGTCGGAAAAAATGTTTCGAGACAAATTTGCGTGAAGTAATGAAAGTAGAATATTTAGTTGAATTAAAGATTAAAAATGTTACCCAAGAGCGCTTGGATGAGATGGCTTGGGTCTCTTCCAGCTTAACCAGTGATCTCGTGTTCGAGCCCTGAGAATGCAGTAGTGTTAAAACTCTTGAGGGAGAGCTTTGCCGCTCTTGTGGTCCTACCCGGCTCGATTCCGGATTAGTCGGTTCCCTTATGGAATCGGAAACCGGAAGGTCTCACTACCAAAAAAAAAAAAAGATTAAAAATGTTGATAGTTTTATTATATTCCGTGCACATAGGCCATCAAGAAAATGTGTGAAGTTGATTTTTTACTTATAAAATATTGTGTTTTGCTACTTTAAAAGTTTAAGGCCTCGTAATCATAGATGGCTAGATTAGGTTATACAAATTGGGATAGAGAAATTACTAGGTCGACGAGTGTAAAGGAGAAAGAGGAGGAGGCAGAGAAACTTCGGTGTGATGTTTGAGAACTATATAGGGGTACATTATTAATTGCTTAATTACTTAAAAAAAAAACATGGAAATTGAATCTATATTTTTTTCCATATTCAAGGCCTACATCCTATAATCCTATATACTTGGTTCTCTTCCAAAAAAGGTCAAAAAAAGACCCACTTGTGTGGTATATACAAACAAAGACATCTGATCTGACTAATTGTATATATCGGTTTTGTTATGAAGCCAATAGTTGGCTTTATAGTGGAGTTAACTTTCTATATACAACAAATAAATCTACCATATCAATAGAATTATATTAATGTTATTTAAGTAATCAAAGAATATGGTAGATTTATTTGTCGTATATAGAAAGTTGGCTCCACTATAAAGCCAACTGTTGGCTCCATAACAAAACCGTTGTATATAGTGACATCCAACTCGATTGTGAATGAATTTAAGGCCATGCCATGTTGTATTTTAATTTCACCGCATGAATTAATAAGGTCAAATTTCACACCTGCAAATTGGAACCTCTGCCTTTTTCATTTCTCCAATTAATTATTTACATTTTTGCACATGACCAATTAAATGATGGATATATTATGCTACGGTACAGTTACGGAACCATTCAGTCAAATTTTGTAATCATTAGATCATCATGTAACCGTCGAGAATAGTTGATTTAACGGTTATAAATTCCGACAGAATGACCGTAGCATCTCCCATATTTTATATATAGCCCTTTTGTCCCACCTTCAGTTCTCTCATCACTATATAAAGCACAAGCTACCCATTCGTTTTCTTCGAACCCGTAAAATGGATGCCCAAATTAATCCCGAGCCCGTAGCCAAACGGATCCTGACCCGAATCCACGCGGGTCACTTTCGAATCACGCTTTCCCTCGGCTGGCAGGCGCTACTATGGAAAATTCTCCTCCACGCCCACCAAGATTCCATATTTGCATTCCGACCCCCGAAAATCTTCAACTCGGCAATTGTGACCGCGATGTG